CGGTTTAGACATAAAAAAAAAACAAACGTACGCCAAACAAGAAAATGTAGGAAATACATTTATGAAAACAAGTCATCTAGACTACGGTGCACTAGGGGTGTACTAGTGACTTTGATTGTTAGAGTATCTTTTGTGAGCATTAAAATTAATGTAAAAATAAGCAGTCAAGTTATTTTTGGACTTGTTCAATGAAATCTCAAATAAATTATTCCAATCTCAATACTAACATTATTGATAAAACGTAATTACTCTTAAGATTGGGCGCTAAACCTTAAAAACAAGATAGGGCACATGCATATCACAAAATAATACTTATTAAGTGATGAGGAACAGATGCATTTATTAACAGTAACTTCTACAATAACTGTTTAGTTAGTTATGAGTAGTAATTAAAATACCATAATGAGTTTTTTTATACATAGTTTAGATGTTGTTAAGGTCAGTGTTACATGAAAACGTACATTTTAGTGAATTTCCTATACAATGTGTAAATTAGTAACAAAACAAACTGTATTTTTTTAACCAAAATAGATAGATACATTCTGTTTGTGATATTGATTGTTAATAAAAGGTTTTGATATTCTTTACATACAAATATTGTTTGACTCATCCCTAAATGGGTGCTTTGGAATATAAACCAACTTTTCCACATGAATCAAATTTTGAAATACCCGCCATTTACGCAAGGAATAAAATATCTACCTTAGATTTGCGTCATTGTATTTCTTTTGTCAATGAGGGGTCACACAATAGGGGTTGTTATTTAAAAAATAAGTCATCACCACACCCTACCCTGTTATTAACTTTAAAAAATATTTTTCTTTAACAAGCGCGGGACTTTTGTAAACAACCAATTCCACAAATAGAACGTTTATATCAATTTTTGTATATTAAAAAATAGGTACACATCTATTTCCATATTTCTGAAATTGGTGGTTTCACATAGGTCTGAATCAAATTTTGGAATACCCACCATTTTGGCTAGGGGGAGATATGCACTTCGGGTTGATGTCATTGTGAAATTTACATCCTGTGTTTACAATAGGAATTTACAGACTGCAATACATAACTTGTTTCACACATACATGAAGATACGGAAACTGTGGTGAACATTCTGAGGCTTCACCTAAAAGGTAGAAGCGGCCCAAGACCCGGGCGAGGAAGGAACAACATGCGTTACAGAGGCAGGAGGGGCTCAGGCAATCGGGGGTCGAGGGGACCACCTAGGAGACCCAGACGATCACCATCCATCCCACCAACACCCCCACCACAACTACCTTCACTCCCACCAACACCCCCACCTCAACAACCACCACCACCCCCACCTCAACAACAACCACCACCACACCCACCTCAACAACAACCACCACCACCCCCACCTCAACAACAACTACTTCAACAAACTTCCGCACTAGGCCTACCACAACGACTCCCGGTACTACCACAACACTCCTACCCTGGAATATTCCCCCCTCCCAATTATTTTAACCACCAAACCTCACTCCAATACCTCATTTCGCCTCCTACAATTTCCCCATTCTACCATCCACATTTTTTAAGTTTTCAACATTCAAGTTTCCCGTCACCCAATACAACCAAGATCAACAAGCCTGCCACTCCCCCAAGCCCCTCAACAAATCCCTCAACAAATCCCACAACAAATCCCTGAACAAATCCCTCAACAACTCCCACTACGCCACTACATCATTCTCCAGCATCAGAACTTCACACATCGAGCCCCTGACGTGATGCCTCGCCAGGGACATCCCCCTCAACCCGCTCAACGTAATGAGCCTGTCCCACCAGGAGTGTAGATATATTTTCTGTGTGTTATATTGTATTTTTAGAAATTTATTATGTATATTTTTCATTTCCATTTAATTAAAAAAAACACTATAAAATCGAAGAAATTATTGCTTAAATCCCCTAAAATTTTATAGTTTTAGTTTATTACCAACAAAAATACATGTTTAGCCAAAGTCATGCAACGTTAATTGGTTTAATGTAGCGTCATCATGCAACCGAAATCAGACGAGCACCTAAATCAATAGAACTTAGCTATAGTAAAAATTAATTTATTAAAATAAATTAATTATTATCCATAAAATTAATCATGGAACCGAATAACATTGGATTCTTGTATATTTAGTAACTTGGGTTCTTACGGATTCAAAGTCAGACCACCCCCGCTCAAAAAAATTCAAAGTTCAAAATTCCCCGTTAATTTCAATATGATTCAATATTCAATATGACTTATCTCAACTATAAATGAGTAGACGTTCATAAGCGCCATGTTTTTAAGTTTATAACAATGTAATTAACATATTTCAAAAGAAAAAAAGAAAATCGTGTCAAGGGGATAGGCTGGCAATAGAAGTTTATGGTAGCCCAATTTATTATTTTTTGAGGCACATTTTAAATAATGCATTAAATTGGTAATTACTGATAATTTTATCGAAAAGTTGTTAGATATTGTTTATGAAGAAGTAACTAATATGTACAAACGAAAAAATAGATTTTTAGTAAGTTGGGTTCTTATGGAACCGAGGTCACACCAGTTAAAATCAAAGTGACATATCTCAACTATAAATGAGTCTTAGAACATAAACGACTTGTTTTCTAGTTCATAACAATGTAATAAACATATTTCAAAAGAAAAAATGAAATCGTACCAAAGGGGTAGGCCAGCAATAGAAATTTATGGTAATTTAATATTTTCTTGAGGCAAAATTTAAATAATGCATTAAATTGATAATTACCAAAGTCAACACGTGGTGTTTTGCCAACGGCTGCTAATGCGCTATTTATTGCTTTTCATAACCAACGCTTTCATAGTATTCTAGCATAGTGCGTTCTTTTAATCGCTGAAAGTTAAACGCATTATTGTTTAGTGTAAGTATCCGTGGCTTTAATTATGTAACTTAATTGTGTAGCTTACAAATTGTTCGTGATGTTCAGTAGATTGTGTATGCCTATATTTGAGATGTCACTATCTCAAGTAAGTGGATATCCTCACATTGTGAAAATACCCCCGCCGCAGCAAACCTGCTGACTAAGCGAATTTCCATTCGTCTGAATTGATTTTCAGTTAAATATATTTTAATAACATTAGGTATAACGAGTACCTAGGTTTGCTGCTACAAGGAAACTAACTTAAGTGTGTTTTTGAGTATAATATTGATAGCTTAGTACAAAATAAATAAATTTGCCAAGTTTGATCAAAATATATTCATAAACAAGCAAACTACAACATTTGACAATATTCTCCATAAGAATAACATGGGAATTCTGAATTTACAATTTTTTAAATTTTCTCCGTTACTAATAATCGAACAAAAATACTTTTACATACTAAATTATTTGTTTTTTTAAGCTCTTTAAAAAGGTCTAAAGAGAAATTGGGAAATTTTGTGTTTTGAGGGTCAAAAGTGAGAAAAACCAATTTTTACCCCATAAAACCCCCCGTAAAGCCCCGTTCCCATGGTCCAATCGTGCTGGTTCGCGAACTCATTCAAGTTTATCCCGCTTTACACCTTTAAACCAAATTTCATCAAGATTTGACAAAAATTACTCAAGTTATCGCGTTCACGGACGTATATATATATATATATATATATATAAATCTATATATATATATATATATATACATTTGAACGAATAGTGTTTTTGGCCTCTGGGGACATCAAAATGAAAAAGTAAATCGGTCTCGGGCCTAGTTCTTACCGTGCCACCTACGGTAATAGCTACTTCCCTATAGGGAAATTCGCTAAAATAGATTTTTAGTAAGTTGGGTTCTTATGGAACCGAGGTCACACCAGTTAAAATCAAAGTGTCATATCTCAACTATAAATGAGTCTTAGAACATAAACGACTTGTTTTCTAGTTCATAACAATGTAATAAACATATTTCAAAAGAAAAAAATGAAATCGTACCAAGGGGGTAGGCCAGCAATAGAAATTTATGGTAATTTAATATTTTCTTGAGGCAAAATTTAAATAATGCATTAAATTGATAATTACCAAAGTCAACACGTGGTGTTTTGCCAACGGCTGCTAATGCGCTATTTATTGCTTTTCATAATCAACGCTTTCATAGTATTCTAGCATAGTGCGTTCTTTTAATCGCTGAAAGTTACACGCATTATTGTTTAAAGTATCCGTGGCTTTAATTATGTAACTTAATTGTGTAGCTTACAAATTGTTCGTGATGTTCGGTAGATTGTGTATGCCTATATTTGAGATGTCACTATCTCAAGTAAGTGGATATCCTCACATTGTGTTGTGCACGCCTGTTGAAGTGATATTTTAAGTTCAAACAAAACAATGTAAGTAACTACTGTATTTTAACTTTTTCTTACAATAGGTAGCCTGATCAGAATCTATTGTAGGAATTAACAGTATTGGAGACTCTACTTTTAAAATGTAGCTAGCAACAACTAGTAAAACTACTGCTACATTTTCAAAAAAGTAGCTAGCTACAACTACAGCTAGGCCTACATTGAAATGTAGCTACAGCTACAATTTTAGCTACTTTTCCATAGACGTTACTTTTTAATCCACGCACATTAGATAAATGTAAAATTAATTGTAACCACATTTTTACTAAACAAACATTAAACAAAAAAATGTTAGTAATGTATTTAACATTACTTGGAAAGGAAATTATTCCTATATTGTATTTAATTTGTGGGCATTATAAACCTAACATTACAACAACAGAACCAAATAGTTGGGTGTCCCATCATATTAAGTACCTATTTTTAAATATTGCATTATTTGCAAGCATCTTATATGTAAATTTCATGAGGTTCAAAGGACGTACAGCCAAACTATATTTTAAAATCTCATTTACACGAGCCTTTTTGGTAGTCTTTTTCCAAGACTCTTCAATGACATCTACATCACCTTCTAATAACAGAAGCATGCCTGGAACATTTGCATGACAGATTTATGATGTTATAGTGGGACCTTGAGTAACACAGACACATTTTCAGGTCGATATGGATTTCAGCATCAGGTTGACCATGTTGATCCCATCTTCGGGCAGAGGTGGGTCCAGCATCGAATTCTGTAGAATGATGCGGGGCGTCGCTGCCCGAGTCCCATGGATTGGTCGGTGGCCTACTGCGTAAGTTGTTAATCAACTGCTACTTAACTGAATATTAGGATAGTATTTTTGTTGGTTTGTTTCAAAATGCCATGTATTGCGTTACAATGTCATAAGGTAAACTTAAAACTTAACATGGGTCTTGCCATGTCGGTTTAGACATTAAAATTGGAAGAAGAGGTAATATTGTGTGCTATAAAATTAATGTAAAAATAAGCAGTCAAGTTATTTTTGGACTTGTTCAATAAAATCTCAAATAAATTATTCCAATCTCAATACTAACATTATTGATACAACGTAATTACTCTTAAGATTGGGCACTAAACCTTAAAAACAAGATAGGGCAAATGCATATCACAAAATAATACTAATTAAGTGATGAGGAACAGATGCATTTACTAACAGTAACTTCTACAGTAACTATTTAGTTAGGTATGAGTAATAATGAAAATACCATAATAAGTTTTTTATACATAGTTTAGCGGTTGTTAAGGTCCGTGTTACATGTAAACGTACATTTTAGTGAATTTCCTATACAGTGTGTAAATAAGTAAACAAAAACTGTATTTTTTTACCAAAATAGATAGATATATTATGTTTGTGATATTGATTGTTAAGAAAGGTTTTACAATTCTTTACATAAAAATATTCTTTCACTCACCTCTAAATGGGTGCTTTGGAATATAAACCATATAGACCACAATAGGAGTTGTTTTTTTAAAAATAAGTCATCACCACGCCCTACCCTGTTATTAACTTTAAAAAATATTTTTCTATAACAAGCGCGGGACTTTTGTGAACAACCAATTCCACAAATAGAATGTTTCTATCAATTTTTGTATATTAAAAAATAGGTACACATCTATTTTAATATTTCTGAAATTGGTGGTTTCACATAGGCCTGAATCAAATTTTGGAATACCCACCATTTTGGCTAAGGGGAGATATGCACTTCGTGTTGATTTCATTGTGGAATTTACATCCTGTTTTTACAATAGGAATTTACAGACTGCAATACATAGCTTGTTTCAGACACACAAGAAAATCCGGAAACTGTGGTCAACATTCTGAGGCTACACCGAAAAGGTAGAAGCGGCCCAAGACCCGGGCGAGGAAGGAACAACATGCGCTACAGAGGCAGGAGGGGCTCAGGCAATCGGGGGTCGAGGGGACCACCTAGGAGACCCAGACGATCACCATCCATCCCACCAACACCCCCACCACAACTACCTTCACTCCCACCAACACCCCCACCTCAACAACCACCACCAGCCCCACCTCAACAACAACCACCACCACACCCACCTCAACAACAACCACCACCACACCCACCTCAACAACAACCAACACCACCCCCACCTCAACAACAACTACTTCAACAAACTTCCGCACTAGGCCTACCACAACGACACCCGGTACTACCACAACACTCCTACCCTGGCATATTCCCTCCTCCCAATTATTTTAACCACCAAACCTCACTCCAATACCTCATGCTGAAATCCATATCAACCTGAAAATTTGTCTGTGTTACTCAAGGTCCTACTATAACATCATAAATCTTTCATGCAAATGTTCCAGGCATGCTTCTGTTATCAGATGGTGATGTAGATGTCATTGAAGAGTCTTGGAAAAAGACTACCAAAAAGGCTCGTGTATATGAGATTTTAAAATATAGTTTGGTTGTACGTCCTTTGAACCTCATGAAATTTACATATAAGATGCTTGCAAATAATGCAATATTTAAAAATAGGTACTTAATATGATGGGACACCCAACTATTTGGTTCTCTTGTTGTAATGTTAGGTTTATAATGCCCACAAATTAAATACAATATAGGAATAATTTACTTTCCAAGTAATGTTAAATACAATACTGACATTTTTTTTTTAATGTTTGTTTGATAAAAATGTGGTTACAATTAACTTTCCATTTATCTAATGTGCGTGGATTAAAAAGTAACGTCTATGGAAAAGTAGCTAAAATTGTAGCTGTAGCTACATTTCAATGTAGGCCTAGCTGTAGTTGTAGCTAGCTACTTTTTTGAAAATGTAGCAGTAGTTGTACTAGTTGTAGCTAGCTACATTTTAAAAGTAGCTTCCCCAATACTGTTAATTTCTACAATGGATTATGATTAGGCTACCTATTGTAAGAAAAAGTTAAAATACAGTAGTTACTTACATTGTTTTGTTTGAACTAAAATATCACTTCAACAGGCGTGCACAACACAATGTGAGGATATCCACTTACTTGAGATAGTGACATCTCAAATATAGGCATACACAATCTACCGAACATCACGAACAATTTGTAAGCTACACAATTAAGTTACATAATTAAAGCCACGGATACTTACACTAAACAATAATGCGTTTAACTTTCAGCGATTAAAAGATCGCACTATGCTAGAATACTATGAAAGCGTTGGTTATGAAAAGCAATAAATAGCGCATTAGCAGCCGTTGGCAAAACACCACGTATTGACTTTGGTAATTATCAATTTAATGCATTATTTAAATTTTGCCTCAAGAAAATATTAAATTACCATAAATTTCTATTGCTGGCCTACCCCTTTGGTACGATTTCATTTTTTTCTTTTGAAATATGTTTATTACATTGTTATGAACTAGAAAACAAGTCGTTTATGTTCTAAGACTCATTTATAGTTGAGATATGTCTTTTTGATTTTAACTGGTGTGACCTCGGTTCCATAAGAACCCAACTTACTAAAAATCGATTTTTTCGTTTGTACATATTAGTTACTTCTTCATAAACAATATCTAACACCTTTTCGATAAAATTATCAGTAATTACCAATTTAATGCATTATTTAAAATGTGCCTCAAAAAATAATAAATTGGGCTACCATAAACTTCTATTACTGGCCTATCCCCTTGACATGATTTTCTTTTTTTCTTTTGAAATATGTTAATTACATTGTTATAAACTTAAAAACATGGCGCTTATGAACGTCTACTCATTTATAGTTGAGATAAGTCATATTAAATTTAACGGGGAATTTTGAACTTTGCATTTTTTTGAGCGGGGGTGGTCTGACTTTGAATCCGTAAAAACCCAAGTTACTAAATATACAAGAATCCAATGTCATTCGGTTCCATGATTAATTTTATGGAATATAATTAATTAATTTAAATAAATTATTTTTTACTATAGCTATGTTCTGTTGATTTAGGTGCTCGTCTGATTTCGGTTGCATGACGACGCTACATTAAACCAATTAACGTTGCATGACTTAGGCTAAACATGTATTTTTGAGGGTAATAAACTAAACCTATAACATTTTAGGGGATTTAAGTAATAATTTCTTCGATTTTATAGTGTTTAAAATGGAAATAAAAAATATATATAATAAATTTATAAAAATACAATATAACACACAGAAAATATATCTACACTCCTGGTGGGACAGGCTCATTATGTTGAGCGGGTTGAGGGGGATGTCCCTGGCGAGGCATCACGTCAGGGGCTCGATGTGTGAAGTTATGATGCTGGAGAATGATGTAGTGGCGTAGTGGGAGTTGTTGAGGGATTTGTTGAGGGATTTGTTGTGGGATTTGTTGAGGGATTTGTTGAGGGGCTTGGGGGAGTGGCAGGCTTGTTGATCTTGGTTGTATTCGGTGACGGGAAACTTGAAAGTTGAAAACTTAAAAAATGTGGATGGTAGAATGGGGAAATTGTAGGAGGCGAAATGAGGTATTGGAGTGAGGTTTGGTGGTTAAAATAATTGGGAGGAGGGAATATGCCAGGGTAGGAGTGTTGTGGTAGTACCGGGTGTCGTTGTGGTAGGCCTAGTGCGGAAGTTTGTTGAAGTAGTTGTTGTTGAGGTGGGGGTGGTGGTGGTTGTTGTTGAGGTGGGTGTGGTGGTGGTTGTTGTTGAGGTGGGGGTGGTGGTGGTTGTTGAGGTGGGGGTGGTGGTGGGAGTGAAGGTAGTTGTGGTGGGGCTGTTGGTGGGATGGATGGTGATCGTCTGGGTCTCCTAGGTGGTCCCCTCGACCCCCGATTGCCTGAGCCCCTCCTGCCTCTGTAACGCATGTTGTTCCTTCCTCGCCCGGGTCTTGGGCCGCTTCTACCTTTTCGGTGTAGCCTCAGAATGTTGACCACAGTTTCCGGATCTTCTTGTGTGTCTGAAACAAGCTATGTATTGCAGTCTGTAAATTCCTATTGTAAAAACAGGATGTAAATTCCACAATGAAATCAACACGAAGTGCATATCTCCCCCTAGCCAAAATGGTGGGTATTCCAAAATTTGATTCAGGCCTATGTGAAACCACCAATTTCAGAAATATTAAAACAGATGTGTACCTATTTTTTAATATACAAAAATTGATAGAAACATTCTATTTGTGGAATTGGTCGTTCACAAAAGTCCCGCGCTTGTTAAAGAAAAATATTTTTTAAAGTTAATAACAGGGTAGGGCGTGGTGATGACTTATTTTTAAAATAACAACCCCTATTGTGGTCTATATGGTTTATATTCCAAAGCACCCATTTAGAGGTGAGTGAAACAATATTTTTATGTAAAGAATTGTAAAACCTTTCTTAACAATAAATATCACAAACAGAATGTATCTATCTATTTTGGTTAAAAAATACAGTTTGTTTTGTTACTTATTTACACACTGTTTAGGAAATTCTCTAAAATGTACGTTTACATGTAACACTGACCTTAACAACTGCTAAACTATGTATAAAAAACTTATTATGGTATTTTCATTATTACTCATACCTAACTAAATAGTTATTGTAGAAGTTACTGTTAGTAAATGCATCTGTTCCTCATCACTTAATTGGTATTATTTTGTGATATGCATGTGCCCTATCTTGTTTTTAAGGTTTAGCGCCCAATCTTAAAAGTAATTACGTTTTATCAATAATGTTAGTATTGAGATTGGAATAATCTATTTGAGATTTTATTGATCAAGTCCAAAAATAACTTGACTGCTTAGTTTAACATTAATTTTAATGCTCACAAGAGATACTCTAACAATCAAAGTCACTAGTACACCCCTAGTGCACCGTAGTCTAGATGGCTTGTTTTCATACATGTATTTCCTACATTCTCTTGTTTGGCGTACGTTTGTTTTTTAATGTCTAAACCGACATGGCAAGACCCATGTTAAGTTTTAAGTTTACCTTATGACATTGTAACGCAATACATGGAATTTTGAAACAAACCAACAAAAATACTATCCTAATATTCAGTTAAGTAGCAGTTGATTAACAACTTACGCAGTAGGCCACCGGCCAATCCATGGGACTCGGGCAGCGACGTCCCGCATCATTCTACAGAATTCGATGCTGGACCCACCCCTGCCCGAAGATGGGATTTCATTAGAAAAAAAAGGAAATCGTGCAATTGGATAGGCCAGCAATAGATATTTATGGTATTTTTTTAAGTACGATGGGTTCTTATGTTACACCAACGCCATTCACGGTGACGGATATGCTACATTTTACAGAAATCATGCTACAGTAGGGTATCCACCCGGAGTCGGTAAAGATTAAAGATAAAACTGTGTTAGATATAGCATTTGCTATATCTAGCCAGGACTACAAACATCTATGTTTGTAGTCCTGATATCTAACCATGTTATACCACAGCCACCTTTTCATCTAAACCGCGCCCTGTTACAATTGGCAACGTTGCAATTAGCATTGTTTAGTGTCAGACGACGCTTAAGGTGGCAGACAGGTGACATCAGCTCATTAATTCGCACTTTATTTATTTAAATTTAAATTTATGAATTTAAATTAAAATATTGAAAATAAAACGTACAAAAAAAACAATAAATATGAATTGAGCCGTGACTTATTCCACCGGCGAATGTCACGACTCATATTCAACTGTCCAAGTGTTTTTGTATAGTAGGTTAGTTTAGTGTTTCGTTTTGTTACTTCCCACGACCCTCAACAAGGCTGTGCCTTGTTCTTATTACTCCCACCGCCAAGCGTGAGAGGTTGCGTGACGAGTGAATTGTCAACTTCTTGGCGAAGATGGATCGTTGTTAATTGAGTTTCCTTTTGGTTAGTTATGCTTCCACCATGTTTTCTTTAAATTTTGAGAGCAACTCGTCTGCAATGAGGAATCTTTAAACGCGCCAAGTGTGCCTTTTGGGGCCCAAGAAGAGGACTCAAACGATGGAGTTTCGGTGGAGGAAACTTTTCCACCCTGTGGCCTCCGTGAGGACTCTGGCCTTTTCCTCCGCCCAGCTGCATGTATCCTCTGTGCCAACAGCCTAAACCGCCAAGTTACCGCAAGTTACCATTAATGCCAAGTTACTGCATGTGTTGATGAACTTTATTTACTGTTACCGCCATGGACTCAGAGGCTTTATTATTTAGATCCAACCTTGTTATTGTTATTTATATAGAATTGTATTTCATTGTTACATAAATCGATCTGTTTAGTAAACGGCTGCCTGGATCCCCGTTCTAACTCAGAGTAAACCCGAAGTGAGGAATCGGCAAGCAGTCGGTAGACTCACAACCCCCCGCTACTCCGCACACACATTTAGATTGAGCAATCATTCAAAAATGGAAGAGAAGCAACCATCAGCTTCGCCAACTGAGGTGAAAACCACAGTAGATGACGAGAGGCCAAAGAGTAAAGGTAAGTTTGGTAAGAAAACATCAACTAAACGTGATGTACCAAAACAAACCCCAGGGCCAATAAGACCTAGCAGACCGCAAGGCGACACCCTAGCTCCTCCCTCCCTGAAACAGGCTAACGCTGAATCAAAGAACAAGACTGCGACGAACGAATCGCTCGTTTCAGAGAGTGTCTTTGCCCCGGATACCGGTTTCGAACCGACCACGCGCGAGATAGTCTTTGAAGCATCTGCCACTGGCTGGACCGATGTCGTTGACCTGACTTACGCTGAACTTAAGAACGATAAAGCAGTGCAAGTCGCAAAGGAGTTGCCTATTGAGGCTCTGCGATACTATTCCGCAGGCTGCTACTGGTTAAGAACCATAGCACTCAAGCAGCACCAGGGACATCAACTCACAGCTGCAGAAGAGAACGTGAAACTTACCTTCGAAGGGAAGACACTCGTATTGCCAGACCCCATCCACATGGGCATCAAAGCGATCGGGCGTATCACTACGAAGAATGGTGAGGTATTGACTCCGTGTCAACCCTCTTTACCCACCGCTGTCACAAACGACATTCCAGGGACACTCGGTATAGTTAACGTTCAGAACTACAACACATACACTGACCACCCAGTCATGGGTATAGCCTACGAAGGTGCGTACGAACGCGCTCAAAGTGGGACGCGTCGTGTATACGTGTCATCCGTCGCCCCCAATGGCACAACGGCAAACCGGAATCTTCAAGGTTTCGCACCATTGGCATCTGTGCGTGAGGACTGCCTCGGCATCCTACAGATGATGGGTTTTGACGTGGACACACGTCCCAGGACCATCAGTAATACGGGCATAAGCTTTCCAGCTATGAAAACCGTGTCAAACTACCTGGCTAAGACGACAACGTTTCGACTAGTCGAAGCTGATATATTCAGCATTCCTACGCTCGGATCGTTAGCTCAAACGGTTGAGACTATTCCTACAAGGGAGAGTATCGATCAACTGACTCGCGCGAGCACCATTGACGTTACGGCGCAATGTGCATCGCTGCTGTCCCCTATCCATATTGGGATAAGCGAAGTATACGGATTGTGTACTTTCAAAGGGACGTCAGATGAGCATCCGTGGGAAAGCTGGAGTCTAATCACTTGGACCGAAGCTAATCCACCACCAGACGGCTTTGTTGCTGCTAGAAACGCGAGACGAACTCTGCCCCGCAGATTTGACGCTCGTGTATTCTACACATCAATCATCAGCCTCGAAGATCAGAGGAAAACAAGGGAGAGTATCGACCGAAGCGGCCCAAGACCCGGGCGACGAAGAAACAACAGGCGTTACAGATGCAGGAGGGGCTCAGGCAATCGGGAGGGGACCTAGGAGACCGAGACGATCACCATCACTCTCAATAACACCCCCGCCACGAAGACCCAGACGATCATCATCACTCTCACCAACAACAACGCCGCGATGACCCAGACGATCCCCGTCCATCCCACCAACACCCCCACCACAACTACCTTCACTCCCACCAACACCCCCCACCTCAACAACAACCACCACCACCCCCACCTCAACAACAACTACTTCAACAAACTTCCGCACTAGGCCTACCACAACGACTCCCGGTACTACCACAACACTCCTACCCTGGCATATTCCCCCCTCCGAATTATTTTAACCACCCAACCTCACTCTAATACCTCATTCCGCCTCCTAATACCATTTCCCCATTGTACCATCCACATTTTTTAAATCAAGTTTCCCGTCACCCAATACAACCAACATCAACAAGCCTGCCACTCCCCCAAGCCCCTCAACAAATCCCTCAACAACTCCCACTACACCACTACATCATTCCCCAGCATCAGAACTTCACCCCTCGAGCCCCTTACGTGATGCCTCGCCAGGGACATCCCCCTCAACCCGCTCAACATAATGAGCCTGTCCCACCAGGAGTGTAGATATATTTTCTGTGTGTTATATTGTATTTTTAGAAATTTATTATCTATATTTTTTTGTTTCCATTTAATTAAAAAAACACTACAAACTCGAAGAAATGATTACTTAAATCCCGTAAAATGTTATAGGTTTAGTTTATTACCCACAAAAATACATGTTTAGCCAAAGTCATGCGACATTAATTGGTTTAATGTAGCGTCGTCATGCAACCGAAGTCAGACGAGCACCTAAATCAACAGAACATAGCTAAAGTAAAAATAAATTAATTATTATCCATAAAATTAATCATGGAACCGAATAACATTGGATTCTTGTATATTTAGTAACTTGGGTTCTTACGGATTTAAAGTCAGACCAACCCCGCTCAAAAAAATTCAAAGTTCAAAATTCCCCGTTTAATTCAATATGACTTATCTCAACTATAAATGAGTAGACGGACATAAGCGCCATGTTTTTAAGTTTATAACAATGTAATTAACATATTTCAAAAGAAAAAAAGAAAATCATGTCAAGGGGATAGGCCAGCATTAGATGTTTATGGTAGCCTAATTTATTAATTTTTGAGGCACATTTTAAATAATGCATTAAATTGGTAATTACTGATAATATTATCGAAAAGGTGTTAGATATTGTTTATGAAGAAGTAACTAATATGTACAAACGAAAAAATCGATTTTTAGTAAGTTGGGTTCTTATGGAACCGAGGTCACACCAGTTAAAATCAAAGTGACATATCTCAACTATAAATGAGTCTTAGAACATAAACGACTTGTTTTCTAGTTCATAACAATGTAATAAACATATTTCAAAAGAAAAAAATGAAATCGTACCAAAGGGGTAGGCCAGCAATAGAAATTTATGGTAATTTAATATTTTCTTGTGGCAAAATTTAAATAACGCATTAAATTGATAATTACCAAAGTCAACACGTGGTGTTTTGCCAACGGCTGCTAATGCGCTATTTATTGCTTTTCATAACCAACGCTTTCATAGTATTCTAGCATAGTGCGTTCTTTTAATCGCTGAAAGTTAAACGCATTATTGTTTAGTGTAAGTATCCGTGGCTTTAATTATGTAACTTAATTGTGTAGCTTACAAATTGTTCGTGATGTTCGGTAGATTGTGTATGCCTATATTTGAGATGTCACTATCTCAAGTAAGTGGATATCCTCACATTGTGTTGTGCACGCCTGTTGAAGTGATATTTTAAGTTCAAACAAAACAATGTAAGTAACTACTGTATTTTAACTTTTTCTTACAATAGGTAGCCTAATCAGAATCCATTGTAGGAATTAACAGTATTGGGGAAGCTACTTTTAAAATGTAGCTAGCTACAACTAGTACAACTACTGCTACATTTTCAAAAAAGTAGCTAGCTACAACTACAGCTAGGCCTACATTGAAATGTAGCTACAGCTACAATTTTAGCTACTTTTCCATAGACGTTACTTTTTAATCCACGCACATTAGATAAATGTAAAGTTAATTGTAACCACATTTTTATCAAACAAACATTTAAAAAAATGTCAGTATTGTATTTAACATTACTTGGAAAGTAAATTATTCCTATATTGTATTTAATTTGTGGGCATTATAAACCTAACATTACAACAACAGAACCAAATAGTTGGGTGTCCCATCATATTAAGTACCTATTTTTAAATATTGCATTATTTGCAAGCATCTTATATGTAAATTTCTTGAGGTTCAAAGGACATACAACCAAACTATATTTTAAAATCTCATTTACACGAGCCTTTTTGGTAGTCTTTTTCCAAGACTCTTCAATGACATCTACATCACCTTCTGATAACAGAAGCATGCCTGGAACATTTGCATGAAAGATTTATGATGTTATAGTAGGACCTGTAGTAACACAGACAAATTTTCAGGTTGATATGGATTTCAGCATCAGGTTGACCATGTTGATCCCATCTTCGGGCAGAGGTGGGTCCAGCATCGAATTCTGTAGAATGATGCGGGGCGTCGCTGCCCGAGTCCCATGAATTGGTCGGTGGCCTACTGCGTAAGTTGTTAATCAACTGCTCCTGAATATTAGGATAGTATTTTTGTTGGTTTATTTCAAAATTCCATGCATTGCGTTACAATGTCATAAGGTAAACTTAAAACTTAACATGGGTCTTGCCATGTCGGTTTAGACGTTAAAAAACAAACGTACGCCAAACAAGAGAATGTAGGAAACACATGTATGAAAACAAGCCATCTACACTACGGTGCACTAGGGGTGTACTAGTGACTTTGATTGTTAGAGTATCTTTTGTGAGCATTAAAATTAATGTAAAAATAAGCAGTCAAGTTATTTTTGGACTTGTTCAATAAAATCTCAAATAAATTATTCCAATCTCAATACTAACATTATTGATCAAACGTAATTACTCTTAAGATTGGGCGCTAAACCTTAAAAACAAGATAGGGCACATGCATATCACAAAATAATACTAATTAAGTGATGAGGAACAGATGCATTTACTAACAGTAACTTCTACAATAACTATTTAGTTAGGTATGAGTAGTAATTAAAATACCATATAATGAGTTTTTCATATATATATTAGCGGTTGTTAAGGTCAGTGTTACATGTAAACGTACATTTTAGTGAATTTCCTATACAGTGTGTAAATAAGTAACAAAACAAACTGTATTTTTTA